CTGCTGCTGCTGCGCCGCCTGCCCGCGGCGAGCTGGGTTGGGGTTACTATAGTTCAAACGCGGCTGAGCTCAGGAGGCGTGGGGGGAGGAGGTGCGGGGAGAGAGGAAGGGGCCTTTCCAGTGGAGGGCATCAAAGATTAATGGATGGCTTTGCATCGCAGTCTGCAGTAAACAGGAAGCTAGTCGGAAAGGAAAGGACAGGAGTGTATGTCTTTATTTTTTAAAATACGGAGTGTGCAGTTCTGCTGAATCTTGAATCGTACCCAAAAGGATGAGCTGTCGGTGCTGCAGTCGTGACCCGGGCTGAGCGCCCAATGGCAGAGGTAGCTCTGTTTTTATTTCCTCTATTCGGCTCTTTAAGTTGCAAGATGGCCCGCGTATTGAGAGTGGACCCGTTTTGGAGAAGACGAAAAACCACAGGATTGCTAGTAGTTTGTGTGGAAATCAGGTGCCTATTAAGTTAGCTAATGAGTGGGAGTGGAGAGGACCGGCTATATTTAAAACGTGCCAGTGCTTATGTAAGCAGTGCGTTCTCGGCCCTGGTATCTCAGTGCTAGGCTGAGTTTACTGATGATTTTAGGCTCGAGGTTTGCCCATTTCGATTTTCAGGGTTTACCAGACTAACAGACGAATGGCCAGGTTTTTTGACTTTGGATTTAGTTGTTGGTAGAATTTTTTTTTTTTAACATGTTGAGACAAAGAGATAAATGATAAGTGGTGACTTTGTTGTTCTTTTAGTGGTGGAAGGGAGAAGGTGTAGACATCTTTAGCTCTTAATTATCTAAGTATTCTACCGGAAAATTTTATAATACATTGGGCTATGTGTCTTTATTATTTATATTTTTTAAAAGGAGTTTAAGAGATGTGGATTTTTTTTCTTTTTTTTGGGGGGAGGTAAAATCTCATTTTCTAATTCTACTTCCTAATAGACTTAGTTCTGCAGGAGATACAAACTGTCTTTAAAAACTTACATCTTTCTTATTCAGGATGATTTGATTTCTTTACATTCAAAACCAAAATACTATGTTTTCAACACATTGTGGAGCGTACTGAGTTTCCTGTGTTTCCTAATTCACAAATCTGAATTTTTGCAATAGTATCAGACTAAATTGTTTGTAAATACTGGAGTTGTTGCTTCCAGACCGGAAAAGTTGTTGAGGTCTTATGTTTGGCTAGCACTTGTTAAATTTTTCTTGTGTTTTTAAAAAGAAATGTCTATTTTTTAGTTGTTTTACTGTATTAAGCATTTTAAACTGTGAGTCACATTTAGTTAATGTTCCGTGCATAGGCATCACATTGGAGTACTTCCCAGTTCAAGGTAGAAATTTTTTTTTTTTTGAGAGGTTTTTGCTATAGGGTGCAAGTGCTCGCAGGAAGAGAGACAGACAGAAAGTGAGAAATCACCCCCCCAGGGGGGATGGCCATGCCACAATCCTTTCTCCTCCATGCTCCTCTCAGTATCTTGGGCATGTGCGCATACGGACACCCGGGATGAGTTTAAGCCACCTGGTCCGGGACTTGAACTACGGTCGACTACGTGGGAGTCCAGTGATCCACTACGTGGGAGTCCAGCAACATAGCCATTACGCCATCTGCTGGTCCACAAGGTGGAAATTTTAAGATCTTGCATGGAGGGTAAAACTACAGGAAGCCATGAGGAGAAGGCGCCAAAAAGTTCATGGAAAAAGTATAAAAAAAATTTTTTTGGCATCCAAATAAATTCATATTTTAATTCTGTATTTCCACAGACCTTTTTTTTTTTTGAAGAGGTTTCTGGGTTTCTGCTATAGGGCGCGTGCGCTCACCAGACAGAGAGAGCCACTGGGTCCGGGACTTGAGCCACGGTGGACTATGTGGGAGTCCAGCAACATAGCCATTATGCTAACTGCTGGTCCCTCCACAGACCTTTTGAAGTGCCCTCTATTTGGCTTTGGGTGCATGATGAACCTTTTATTTTTTTAATTTTTTTATTTTTTTGCTTTCAGTGATTTTGCTTGTTTTCTAGGCTTCTTTAGTAATATTTTGGTTTTAAGAGAATTTTGAGCTTTCTTACTTCCTAATGCCCTTTAATTCTGACAGTAAATCTAGGTAAATCATAAATTAGGCAGGAAAATGATAGACTTGAACCAAATATTATAGAGGTATACTCTTTTTTTTTAATTTCAGGAGAAAAGGCTCCATTTTTACTAAATGTTAGTTTAAAATGATTTGAACAGGTATGAGTGGCTTCAGGTATTTGAAAGAAGATACGTATTTTGAAATTTTGTTTAGGTATCGGTTTAGCATTTGGTGCTAGTATTGGTACACAGTATTGTGACTGTCACCACCTTCGTGTGGACTTTCACTTTAGGGCAGTTTGAAGTTACAGGATTTGGGAAAATGTATTTTTCTCATTTTCCATATGTTTTTCTTTTTCATGTATTAAATTTGTTTCCTCCATGCCCTTACCTATATGGCTAGCTTGCTCTTGATTTGGTTAAGTATTACTCGTGTGCAGACACAAATAAAACATTTGGTAAGCAATAGATTCAGTATTGAAGGAGTATACGTCACTCCACCGGAGATGCTTAGAAACGCTAGAGTCTTGAGTTGACCATGCAGTAGAGTTTGGGAAATCTATCTTCTCAGTTTTTTTGTTTTTGTTTTGTTTTTGTTGATAGCTTTAGGGACTGTTTTCTATTTATGAGGCAGGAGTTGCGAGTGGAAATTGAGAAAGAACATGTAGCATTCTGTTAATGGCCTTCTTTTGTAATAGAGATGATCCTCTGTGCGGATTAGGGAGGTATTTTCCTAGGAGATCTTGATTTCTGATGCAGGATTAGTTTTTGTTTAATTTTTTTTAACCTCTGTAAGAACTAGAATGGTGAAAAGGGATATATTTTAAAATACAAAACATTAAGAACAGAGGGAGGCTCCAAGTCAGATGAGGTAAATAGGGATAAATAGGGGCAAGTATTAATTCAGTAATAGCATTAATTCAGTAATAGCTTACTCCATCTTTTTTGTTACTAACACACACACAAACACAAATAGTGGTTTCATTGTTTTCTAGAATTTTCTGAAGAAAATTATAATGATAGGAAACATGGCAAACAAAAAAGATAGAAGAGAATAAAAATCACCCCAGCCCTGTTGTTGAAAGAGTATTACTGTGAATATCTTGGTTTATTTTTCCCCAAGATTTAAAATAATAATATCATGAGCTTTGAAAAATATTGTTAGATTCCTAAGTAGTATAGTTTACAATAAATATTGATTTAGAGATTTTATTTTTTCAGTGCCCCCCCCTTTGGTCATAGCTGTTTGGTTTTTATTCTCAGCATATGATTTTTTTCTAATGTAGGAAAGTTATGAAAATGGTTTTATTCTTTTAAAATAATCAAAATTGTAGTACTTATAAAAATGTTGATTCTATATTATTCATAGGACATAGACATGATAACATTTGGGTTATGGGAATAAATGATATATGACCATTGAAAACCTTTTATAAACGTGCCAAGTTGAGCTGCCTTTAACTTTTAACTGTCTGAGCTGGGGAGCTATGAAAATTGGAGGATAAGGTGGAAATACTGACAAATATTTCACCATCGCATAGCAATCTGTCACTATAATTTTCTTCAGAAATAGATGTTTTCATTTGTCCTGTAATGTCTGAAATCACTGCCAAAGCTAGAAATGTGTTTAGCTTTCTCAGCAAGATTCTTAAAAGCATATTACCAGAGCCCGCAATCCAGAATTATCTTTACTCTTTAAATCGCCCTTTACCACTTTTGTTTGTTTCTCCTGTTCTCTTAAAATTTCTTAGATTAATTTGCAGCCCTACCGTATAAAAGCAGTATTGCATTGAATTGTCCTTTTAAACAGTAAATTTTCCAGAGGTTCCTGATGACAGCCTTTGATTTCCTCCTCCCCACTCCTACCTCCCTGTTTCTCTTACTGCTTATCAACATCTAAGCAAAGACAAGGGCTGCAGACTAAGTGCCTGGTTTCTTCCATGTGCCTGCATGTCTGTGTGTTAAGGAAAGAATTTATAAGCATTATTTTTTCACTTTGAAGGAAGATTATAGGAATTTTAGACCAAGAGTTTAAGGATTCAAGGAAACAGTATTTTAAATGTATCTGCATCATGAGTTTTCTGTATTGTGAATTTAGGACTTCAATTTTTATTGTAAGTAAAGAGGAAATGTTTGAGTATGAGATGCTGTCAACTTTTGATATAGTAAATACACTAAGTTTGCCCTCTTTTAAAGAACCATGTGACTCTCAGGTAATTTTTATAGGGCATATTTTATTTTTCCTGTTAATTAGGTAAAAGTTACAGTACTCATGTATGTTGTTTTTGTTGCTAAGTACCTAGTTACTGGCTTTTTAAAGAATAAGGCTTGAGGGACCAGCAGGTGGCGTGGTGGTTAAGGCGCTACACACTCCCACATGGTGGACCATGGTTCAAGTCCTGAACCTGGTGGCTTGCTTCCTTCTCTCTCTCTCTCTTTCTCTTTTTCTCTGTGTATGTATGTCTCTCTCTCTGGTCAAATTAAAAAATAAATGAATGAATAAATAAAATTAAATAAATAATTCTTTAAAAAACAATAAGATTTGAGGCTCAAACATTTAATCAGATTTATATGGTTAGACAGTCCTGAAAGTGTCAATGTGAAAACATAATTCAAGCTTATTTCATGAGTATGTAAAAACAGGGCCAGCCTGGTGGTATGGTGGTTAGGGTGTCTGGATCACACATGACCAATGTGTGGTCAAGTCGTGGACCCAATGTCTTGAACAATCACATTGTGGACATGTGTGTGTGTCCAAAGTCCTGAGCAGAATGGAGGAGAGGGACTATGAAGTGGCTATCCCCTCTGGGTGGTGTTCTCCCCACCCCATGAGCACAGGTGCCCTATAGCTAACTAAAAAATAAATAAAATAGATGTGGCTAAGGAGTTTTATCCATTGGGATTTTGTATAGTTTATGACATTACGTAAGATTCATAAAGGGATATCTAAAAGCTACTTATGTTGACTTACTTTTATATATGGGTGTTTTGAATTTTAGGTCTGCTCCAAAGGAAAAGAGGAGAAAAAACATGGCTGCAAAGGAGAAACTGGAAGCAGTGTTAAATGTGGCCCTAAGGGTGCCCAGCATCATGCTGTTGGATGTCTTATACAGATGGGATGTCAGCTCTTTTTTCCAGCAGATCCAAAGAAGTAGCCTCAGTAACAACCCTCTTTTCCAGTATAAGTATTTGGCTCTTAATATGCATTACGTAGGTAAGTGTCTACATTATGTCTTTGTGTATTTTTCAATTTGGGAAAAATGAGGTTCCATTGCATTGAGATGACAATGATATAGCCATCGATGAATCTTGTTTATAGTTATATTTTTCTTATTATTGCAGATGAATTTTAGAACTAGAGGAAAGTAGGCAGTGTTAGATTTATTTTACTGGATAAAACTGGAAGGCAGAAGAAAGCATTGTAGATGTTAATATGATAAAATGTAAATGAGAAATAGGTTTTTAGACATCTGATCCCTTATTTGTCCTTATTTTGGGGGAAGGCAGTAATTCAGAAAGTATATTTTAAAATGTGATAATTCTTGTTTATTATTTCTTGTGACAATTTTAGAAGTTATCAATTGAAGATAAAGTATTCATTTTAATTAAATGTGGGAAATATACTGTAAGCAGGTAGGATGGTGGTTGAAGTGCTGAACCTCCCACATGGCTCACCATGGTTCAAATCCTGGACCTGGCAGCTTGAAAATCATGCAGTACACTTGTGCATGTGTGTTCAAATCCCAGGAGGAAGATGGAGGAGAAGGGATTTGCTGAGTAGCCATTTCTTGTCAGGGATGATTTCTCACTTTGCCTCTTGTTATCTGTCTCTCTCCTGCAAGTGCATGTGTCCTGTGGCAAAAACCTGAGGAAAAAAATACTGAAATTATAATTGATTTGCTTTGGTATAGTGGTAGAAGTAAAGATGAGGTTTAAAAGAAATTAAAGTCAACAAGTATAGGTGTGAAGCAGATAAAATTAATCTAGAATGAATAAAAAGTCATGATCCATAATTTTTAGGTTAATTTTTAGTTTATATGTAATAAGTATTAATATATTTTTATTAACATTGCTATCGTATAACTCAAGACCTGGAAGAATTGTTTATTATTGTGCTTTTATTAATATTTTTATTAATAGAATCGCCCAGTGAAATGTATGTCTCTGATAGAATTTTGAAGGGCCGCCTTGTCTCTGAGATTTATATTTATCTGTAGAAGGACTTTTTCCTTTCAAAACATAACCCTGAGAAACCCTTACAGCTTTATGATAGTACCAAGTAACACAATGTGGGAAGAAATATGGTATAGTCAGGACCAGCAGTTGGCGTAATGGCTATGTCGCTTGACTCCCATGTAGTCGACTGCGGTTCAAGTTCTGGACCTGGTGGCTTAAACTCAGGCTGGGCACGAGTGCGTGCATGTCCAAGATCGTGAGACGAGAATGGAGGAGAAGGGATTGTTGCGTGGCCATCCCCCCTGGGTTGTGATTTCTTGCTTTCTGTCTGTCTCTGTCTTTCGGGTGGGCACACACTCTCTATAGCAAAAACCTCTGCGAAAAAAAAAAAAAAAGAAATATAGTATAGTGGAAAAGACAGTTCACGAGAAATGAAGCGTCTAGGCTAAGTAAATTCATCTCTTGTAGATGGCACTGCTTGGAATAGTCTGTGAAATGAGAAGGTTCCTTTATTTGCAAAACACTATAATTCTCAGCCCTTTATTAAGGGCTTTGTATGTTAGCCAATTTATGGAAAGTAATTCCAGTCAGTTGTAAAAGAACAATTGGGTACTTGGCTTAGCTTTTTTAGCTTAATCAGCAAAGTAATTCATACAGTGGTTTTAAAAAATGTGCTTATCATATATTATTTCTGAACAGATTGAAGTATTTATTGTAAAAGCAGCTGCCTAACAACCAGAAATTGAATTTCTAAAATTTAATTTTAGAAATCGAATAGGTTCTTCTTCAGTTGAAGTTCATACACTCTGGCTTTTGACTTTGGGAACTCAACTGAGCTTTGTTAAATACTCTTACTGCATGCCATAGTAGAGTAAGCTCAGTGATTACGTGAATAGATAGTTTCAGCTTGAATGGTTTTTCGGTTGGAATAACCTCTGTCAAAGTATTATGCAGTGTTTATGTAATGCTCCAGTTTACAATATTTAACCCTTAATTTTTTTAAAGTCTTTTAAGTTTGAAATCATTAAGCTCATTCTTATGTATTTTGTCTTTTATTGCTATCACGGTGGTGCTATTAAGAAATAAAATCAAGATAGGGAGTGGTTAAAGTTTGTGTTTCTGGAATACAATTGTACCCACAAACTTAAAAGTTTCCCAGTGTGGGTTCTGCCTGAGAATAAGAAAGAGAAGTGACTGTCCAGGTGTAACTGGTGGAAATGTTAATTGTAGTAACTTTTGTGGAGTAAATAGGATATGAAGAAGGGGAATAGAACTAATATTGGAAAGGTGTAGTGGGGCCTTTTGTGAAGAACCCTGAGTACATGTGGTAGGTATTATGCTTAGTTTAGAAGGTAGTGGTGGGCCAGTGAAGGTTTTAGAGGAGAGGGTTAGAGGATAAGAGAAATCCATGTGATAGAGCCAAAGAGTAGCAGCATTTGAAGAGTTGTAACCTCAGATGACCGAGGATAAGCAGGTTATCACAGATTTGACAAGTAGGCAGTACTGACTTCTCAGTTTCTTAGAGTAGAAGAGTAAAGGCAGTTTGTAGAGGGTTTATGTATTGTAGAGGGTTAAAGGAAAACACAGTCAGAAAACAGAGGCACTGGGTACAGATAGACTGAAATATCTGTGGAATGAGAAAAGTAGGTGATAAGGAGAGGAGAAATCAGTGTGAAAGAGAAGCTTGTGTGTGTGTTTTTCCCTCCAAGGTGAGATGTTGTGCTCATCCTTAAAACAGGTGAGGACTGATGTCAGGGGAATGACCTAAGATGCAAAAAATAGATGGTCTTCAGGACAGGAGTTGGAGAAATATGATCTTGAATTGAGTGGAGTGGGCAACCTTAGAGAGAGACAGTAAGACACCCAGGTCTTCCTGTGGCATTAGAGAGGCTGAGAGGATTGGTGTAAAGCAAGTCAGGAGACATCAGGGACAGGTAGGTGATCAAAAGAGGCATGATGTACCATTGTGCGATATATTTGACTGTAAACTAGAAAAATGTATAAAATAAGTAAAATATGCTTTGTATTTTGAACCAAGAAATTCACAGTGATTTTACTAAAATTCACTTCGTAGTGAAATGAGAAACCTCAGTTTTTGAAGCCTAATTGGCTATCAGTTTAAGTTTTTTCTGTTAGTATAATTAATTGACCAACTAAACTAGAATAATATTTTATTTATCTCTTCATTTCTGCCTCAGGTTATATCTTAAGTGTTGTGTTACTAACCTTGCCCAGGCAGCATCTGGTTCAGCTTTATCTATATTTTTTGACTGCCCTTCTCCTCTATGCTGGACATCAAATCTCCAGGTAAGAATGTGACCCCATTTTTGAAATGTGTGACTGAATTTATTATTTTTTTAAAGAATTATTTATTTTATTTTATTTATTCATTCATTTTAATTTGACCAGAGAGAGAGGGGGAAAGAGGGAGGAAGTGAGAAAGCAAGCCACCAAATTCAGGACTTGAACTGTGGCCGGCCATGTGGGAGTGTGCAGTACCTTAACCACTGTGTTACATGCTGGTCCCCATGAATTTATGAAGTTTTATTTTGCCAGTAAAATAACTTTTCATGAACATGGTTGAGAATCTAAAGCTTTTGCCTACTGTAATCTCAGTGACTCAGAGGCAGAGGCAGGAGGATGGCAATAGTCAAAAACATGCTTGATATGAAATAAGCCTTAACATGTTTACAAAGATACTCAAGCTTTTCTGTATTGCCTGTAAAAAAGAATTTCTAAAGTCAGGCTGTAGGAACACGTAACAAGACTTCTGTACTCTCATCATTTTAGGAAGTCAGTGATATATGAAAGTCAGTTTAAGATACAACCACGTGGAGTGGTGATTAATATAAATTACTGAGGTTAATTATATAGCTCAGAACTGCTGCCTCTTTAGCAGTATTGCCTGTTTACCTAGGTCTGGTACACCTAAATTGTAAGACTTGGGTCTGCCCACTAGTGAGCTTCCTACTTGGGAACCAAATGTTACAGTACAGGTGAACCGAGAGTGACACTGTAAATGTAATGTGGTTGAATAAGTTTGGAGGTATGATCTCTTTTGAAACTTATATTTCATAATTTTTGGTTGGAATGTATTTACATAATAAAATATACTCCCAGTGTTAGAGGAGTGGATACTTTGCATATGGAACATACTATAAGATGAAGTCTGAAATAGAGATTTTGTTGTAGACTTAAAATTTAATTGGGACCAGCAGTTAGCATAATGGCTATGTCGCTGAACTCCCATGTAGTCGACCGTGGTTCGAGTCCCAGACCTGGTGGGACTCATGCCAGATGCGTGTGTGTGCGTGCCCAAGATCCTGAGAGGAGAATGGAGGAGAAGGGATTGCGGTGTGGCCATCCTCCCCTGGGGGATGATTTCTTGCTTTCTGTCTCTTTGTCTTTCTGGCGAGTGCATGCACCCTATAGCAAATAAAAAAAAAAACTCTAAAAAAATTTAAGCTTAGAGGGGGACCAGCAGATGGTGTAATGGTTACTTCGCTGGACTCCTATGCAGTCAACCGCAGTTTAAGTCCCGCACCTGGTGGCTTAAAATTTACACCGGGTACGTGTGTGTATGTGCCCAAAATTCAAAGAGGAGAATGGAGGAGAAGGGATTCTAGTGTGGCCATCCCCCCAAGGGGTGATTTCTTTCTTTCTTTCTTTCTGGAGAGTATAAGCGTCCTATAACAAAAATCTCTCTTAAGAAAAAAAAAAAAAATTAATCTTAGAGAGACCAGCAGATGGCATAATGGTTACGTTGCAGGACTCCTATGTAGTTGACCACAGTTCGAGTCCTGTACTTGGGAGCTTAAACTCATGCAGGATCTGTGTGCATGTGTGCCCAAAATCCTGAGAGGAGAATGGAGAAGAAAGGATTACAGCGTGACCATTCCCCTGAGGGGTGATTTCTTGCTTTCTGTCTCTCTGGTGAGCACACACACCCTATAGCAAAAATCTCTCTTAAAAATATATTAACCTTAGAAATCACATTTTTATATTACTAGAATTGTTGAGTTTTAGAAAACCTTAATTTGGGTTCGGCTGGTTAAGGATGCTGGACTCCCACATAGCTGACCATAGCTCAAGTCCCGGATCTGGTGGGTTGCTTTCTCAGTTTCCCTCTCTCTCTCGCTCTGACTCTCTCTGGTCAAATTAAAAATAAATAAATAAATAAATACAGTTAAATAAAATAATTCCTTTTAAAAAAACTTAATATTTTGCTAAATATAAAATAAAATTACTTACTGTATATGTAGCCAATTTTTGGAAATATATAAAATGTAATAGTCACCTAAAATTACAACTCCCAGAAATAGATTTGCTAATGTCTTGGTATTCCAGTTCTTTAAAACTTCTAATTCTTACCACCTTAATGGAGACAAAAGAATTAACTGTAATAACTTGACTTTTGACCTCTTAGGATGCAAGACCTTCTTTCTCCTTAATATTTTACCTGATTATTTTCAAAGTTCTCAAAATATTTTTCAGAAACTCAGTTTTCTTCCCTATGCCTGCCTGGTTGATTTCCTCTGCTTAGAATGGTACTAGGAGGGGGTGTCTTCCTCTTTTACTTCTGCCCCTGTCCTTGGAGCTGCCAGAGTAGTGCTGCATCTCCTAGAATCTTCATAATGTGCACATCAATCTGTGTCCCACTCAAAGGTGGAAACAATGGCCTTCCTCATCTTGTGTCACATAGTATGTGTCTGTGTCATAGACTCCTTCATGGAAACAGTTTAAACCTTTTCCAGTAGCATCTCTCTTCATGGAGCTTAACTAGGAGTTGAAGGGCCGGTACTGACACAAATAGCATGATGTCCTGTTTACAGTACCTCCTCTTTCTAGTACCATTAGCTTCAGTCATTTATATAATCTATTCCTGTGGCCTTCCCCAGACACTTCTGAATCTCAGGTCAGCTTCAAATTGGAGACGCTTCTCTTACTTAATCATTTTTAGACAAAAATCCTATTTGTAGAATATAAAACAGTAGTTAGGATATGGGTTGTGGAATCACTGTTTCAGTATGTACATGCGTGCCTGGGCACCAAAGAGCCACTTGGATATTTTTTGGAGAGATGGTTGTATGGTGAGACAGGTTCAAATTCCACCTTTCTTATTCACTGCTTTACAACCTGTGTGTTACTTACTGGAAAGGTAAGCCTTAGTTTCCTCACCCGTAGAATGGCGATAGTATCTTAAGGGGTTGTTGCAAAATTCATTAAAGTAAGCTTTCTTGGTACCAGCAGATGGCTTAACGGCTATGTCGCTGGACTCCCATGTAGTTGACTGCGGTTCGAGCCCCAGACCCAGTGGCTTAAACTCACGCTGGGCACGTGTGCGTGCGTGGCCAAGATCCCGAGAGGAGAATGGAGGAGAAGGGATGGCAGTGTGGCCATCCCTCCTGGGGGAGTGATTTCTCACTTTCTGTCTCTCTCTGTCTTTCTGGCGAGTGCACGTGCCCTATAGCAAAAACCTCTCAAAAAAGAGCTTTCTTTTTTTTTTTAAAGAATTATTTTATTTAACTTTATTTATTTTTAATTTGACCAGAGAAGGACAGAGCTAGCGAACAAAAGAGGGGGGTGGGGGAATGAGAAAGTAAGCTGCCAGGTCCAGAACTTGAACGATGGTCAGCCATATGAGAGTTTAGTGCCCTCAACCACCCACCAGCTCCAAAATAAGCTTTCTAAAGCTCCTAGCATAATTTATGACATACAGGGGAGCTTCAAAAAGTTCATGAGAAATGCACATTATGAAACAACTGTTCATGGATTTCAGAATTTTGTACTGAATGGATTTTCATTTTCCATGAACTTCTTTTTTTACAATAATCAAAAAAAATTTGCTCACACTCCATAATTCTTGACAGTTAATAAACAACTTTTGAAATTTCAAAAAACTGAATTTTAAAGATAACTTTTAAAATCTTGGGTATAATTTTGCTTGTGATTATTTTAACAACAGAGACTGTATGGTTTTAAATATTTTGGAAAAAATATTTACATATCATCTACTCAAACTGCTGAAAAGCAAACACCCAGCACACAATTCACACATGAACCTTTCCAATTCACTCTGCCTGCCAAGCATTCTGCTAGCAAAGATCAGTCTCTTTTTCTTCCTTCTGTTTTCCATGAACTTTTTAAGGTACTCTCATGTCATAAGAGCTTAGTGAATTTTACTTTTATTTTAATTTTTGAAAAAAATTTTGCTATGAGGTATGTTCCCTCAACATAAAGACAAAAGCTGTAGGAAAGCATCCCTGGGGTGATGGCCGTACCACGGTCTTCCCCATTCTGCTCTGGGGATTTGGGGCACTCACACACATACCCCCGGTGGGTTTTTTAAGCCACCAGTTCTGGGATTCAAACCACACAGTTGACCAGGTGGGATCCAGCTGCCTTAGCCATCTGCTAGCTCAGTGAATTTTAACTAACAGTCTTATGTCTTATTTTTATCATACAGTAATGTATTATGAACATCTTCTCATGTCATTGATTTTTTTAAAAAGAATTATTTAATTCATAAGATATTGAGGTTAAAGTTTTTAGTTTTAAAAAAAGAGTGGTGTGGGGCTGGCAGGTAGTATGTTGGTTAAGATGCTGGACGCCCACATGGCCAACTGCAGTTCAAACCCTGGACTTGGTGACTTGCTTTCTCACTTTCCCTCTGTTTCTCTCTGGTCAAATTAAAAATGATGCCAGAAGTACCTCCTCCCCAGTGATGTGATAGCTAAAATGTGTCCTTAGACATTGCCACATGTTCCCCTCCAGCGGACAGAATTGTTCTCTGTTAAGAACCAGTGCTATAGATAAAGGATTTTTAAAATGAATTTTATTATTTATATGTTGAAGTAAGTTTTGACAGGAATAAAGTTGACTAGTTTTAGTGTTCGACATGTTTTCTTTTGAGCATTATCAAATTCAGGCACTAGGAGGTCAGAAAAAAGCTGAAGAAAGAAGTTGAGTGTCAAGACAATATAATTATGCCCTGGGAAAATGAACTCTTCAGTTGCTAGCACATTGCTGAGGGAGGTGTGTGTGTGTGTGTAGGCACTCAGTTACAGGTATGTGAACATCTTAGCATTTGGGACCTCTTATATCGAGTGGTGCTTTTTTATTTGCTCATATTGCAAAATATAGCCTGATAACTCACCTTTTTTGTGTGTGATGAAAGTATACTAGGTTTCTCTGGAATTCACATTGTTTGAAAGCTTCAAGTAAGCAGCCAGAATGAACAGATGTTTCTAGGTTGTCCACTGACTTGGTCAGATTGCTTAAGAGACCATTGTTAGTAAAGGTGTTTA